CAGGTTTGCACGGACGCAGGCACACACGGACAAATGCAAGCAAAAAACAAACATATAAACACAAACACATACATGCATACAAACACACATACACACGCACGCACGCACACATACACACACGCGCGAGACAGACAAGGGAAATAATCTGTAAGCAGAGAACGAACGAGGAAACAAAACGTATTAAAGATAAGAGGAAAGAAAGAGATAATGAACAGGCGAAAGAGCACTTCCTTCCCCCCTCCCCTTCCGTTCCTCCCTCTTCTTCTTTTCTTCCTTCTCCCTCCTCCTCCTCCTCCTCCTCCTTTCCTCCGTTCCCTTACTCTTCCTCTTTCCTCTCTCCCCTTTTTCTTCTCCCTCTTCCCCTCCTCTCTGCCCCCATCATCCCCCTTATTTCTACATTTATTGGAAGTAAACAGAGGAAATGGGACTACGAACATAGCAAACGGAGAAGAGAAAAGAAAAAAAGAAGAAAATGGCTATTCCCGCAGAGTAAAAAGAGTAAAAAGACAAAAGACGTAAGAGTGAAAAGAAAGAAGACAAACAAAGGGAATCTCAAAGAAAAATAAAACCGACGTGGGAATTGCGCGCGGCCCTGTCAATCAAAGGAAGACGCGCCGAAATTGCAGCCCTCGGGACCCCACCGGCCTCGCCCCTCGGACTTCTCGGACCCTCGCCTCTCCCCTCGGACTTCTCGGACCCCACCGGCCCTCGCTCCCTCGGACTTCTCGGACCCCCAACCGCCCCTCGCCCCTCGGACTTACCGCCACGCCCTCGGGACTTCCTCGGACACCCACCGGCCTCTCCCCCGCCCTCGCCCCTCGACGACCCCACCGGCCCTCGCCCCTCGGGACTTCTCGGACCCCACCAGCTCCTCGGACCCCACCGGCCCCTCGCCCCCTCGGTCTTCTCGACTCGCCCCTCGGACTTCTCCGGACCCCACGGCCCTCGCCCCTCGACTTCTGGACCCCATCGGCCTCGCCCTCGGACTTCTTCTCGGACCCCCAACCGGCCCTCGCCCCTCGAACACTTCCTCGGACCCCCACCGGCCCTCGCCTCGGTCTCCCGCGGACCCCACTTCTCCCCTCGCCCTCGCCCCTCGGGACTTCTCGGACCCACACGGCCCTCGCCCCTCGGGACTCGCCCCTCGGACTTCTCGGACCCCACCGGCCCTCGCCCCTCGACCCTCGGACCCCACCGGCCCTCGCCCCTCTTCTCGGACCCCACCGGCCCTCGGCCCCTCGACTTCTCGGACCCGGCCTCGCCCCTCGGACTTCTCGGACCCCACCGGCCCTCGCCCCTCGGACTTCCCGGACCCCACCCGGCCCTCCGCCCCTCGGTCCTTCTCGGACCCCACCGGCCCCTCGCCCCTCGGACTTCTCGGCCCCACCGGCCCCTCGCCCCTCGGACTTCCTCGGACCCCACCGGCCCCTCGCCCCTCGGCCCTCGGACTTCTCGGACCCCACCGGCCCTCGCCCCTCGGTCTTCTCGGACCCCACCGGCCCTCGCACCCTCGGACTTCTCGACCTCCACCGCCCATCGCCCCTCGGACTTCTCGGACCCCACCGGCCCTCGCCCCTCGGACTTCTCGGACCCACATCGGCCCGCCCTCTTCTCGGAACGTTCTCGGACCCCCCCACCGGCCCTCGCCCCTCGGACTTCTCGGACCCCACCGGCCCTCGCCCCTCGGACTTCTCGGACCCCACCGGCCCTCGCCCCTCGGACTTCTTCGCACCCCCGCCACCGGCCCTCGCCCCTCCGGTCTTCTACGGAACACCCAGCCCGGCCTGCCGCCCCTCGACTTCTGGACCCCCACCCGCCCTCGCCCCTCGGACTTCTCGGACCCCATCGGCGCCTCGCCCCTCGGACTTCTCGGACCCATGGGCCTCGAACTTCCTCGGACCCCACCGGCCCTGCCCCTCGGACTTCTCGGACCCCACCGGCCCTCGCCCTCGGCCTTCTCGACTCCACCGCCCTGCCCCTTCGAGACTTCCTCGGACCCCAACGGGCCCCCGCCCCTCGAGACTTCCGGACCCTACCGGCCCTCCCCCCTCGGACTTCTCGGACCCCAATATTCCACATCCCCTTCGAGGGGAAGCGGGAAGCAGAGGGAGGAGGGGGAGGGAAGGGAGGGAGAGGGGAAGGGGAAGGGAGGGAGAGGGGGAGGGAAGGGAAGGGAGGAGTGGGACGGGGGGGGGTAAGGGTGGAGAAGGAGCAGGATGGAGGAGAGAAAGGTTGGAGAAGGGGAGGGAGGAAGAGGAGGAGGAAGGGGACGAAGAAGAAATAGAGGAACAGGAGGAAGGAAGGAAATGAGAGGACGGGGGAATAAATAAGGAAAGAGGTGGGAGAAGGAGGAGATAAAGAAGGCAGAAGGAGGGGAAAGGGTTGAGGCCGAGGAGATATACAGAGGAGTGGCGTGAGGGAAACAGAGGGACGTGGAAAGAAAGAAGGGAGATGAGAAACTGAAGAGAGGAGGGTAGACGGAAAAAAAATAGGAAGGAAA